TAAAAATTTTTGTTGTTATTATTACTATTTAATTTTAAATATACTTTTCTTTCTTCTCTCATCTACCCTAATTTCGCCCCTCCGCTTTTCTCTCATCTGCCGCAACGCCGTCTTCCTTTTCTCCAGCTGCCCTCCTTAGTGGTAGTCGACCTCTTTGCCGGAGGTCAGCTCTCTGCCGCACAGACTTGGTCTCGATGCGCCCCCCTCTGAATCTGCCTTGTGCCAGTGGTTGCGGGAGGACAATTCGGTCGGTCTTTTCTGCTTCTGTTGCCGGTTCAGAGCATCTGGACGCTCACCTCCCTAGTGCAGCTGTGGTGCTTGGCGGGGGGTGGCCTCGGGGTTTGGGAGTGGCTCGGGTGTTGCGTTGTTCGCGACGGGGAAGACAGGGTTGGGGAGCTTCCTTCGATCCCCTTTCCTCTGGATTCTGGTGTGGGATTCAACTGGGGGCGGGACAACGACTTCGGCTAGTGGTGTTAGATGTGCTCGAAGTTGCGGTGGTGTGGGGGCACGATTGGGGCTCCTCCGGCAGGAGTCTAGTTGATTCCAGGATCGATTCGTGGTTTGGGTTCGGGTTCAATTAGGCGGTTCCGGCAGTTTCGAGAGTTGTTCTTTGGGCAACAGATTGTTCCATGGAGCCGATTGTTGTCCACCGGTGCTTAGTATGAGGTTAGGTTTATTGTTGGCGAATGACTGTGTTTTTCTCGTTTTGGTTTGTAAGTTTTAGTTTATTTTGTTTTGTTCGTTGTTATTTAAGACTTGTGTTTTTTATTTGGGCCGTTGGCCTCTGTGACCCCGAGCGTGAGCAGGTATTATCCCCTTCGGATCAATCTCTCTTTGTTGGAAGCTTTGTAGTTTGTTTTTAGGTTGTGTTGTAGTGTTTGTAATATCCCGTCAATTTCAGTATAAATTATATTTTTAGTTCCGATATTAATTTTCGGAATTAATTATTTTCAGTCAGTTGAGTCGAAATTACCGGAAATTATTTTCGACGTACCGTTTACGTTCGAAATAATTTTGGTAATTAAGCATTATGTTTAATTGAATAATTAAACATAATTAGGTGATTAATTTATAATTAATCATGAGATTAATTATTAAAGGGTTCGAATTATTTTTTTAATTGTCCATCCAAAAAGCCGTACACTTTGATGTGGGTGGTATGAATTAAGTTTGGATCAAATAAATGCCATGCATTTTAAGTGGGAAATTGTCCAACTTTCCTCACTTTTAAGTAGCTTAAACGTGGCATGTTATAAGACTAAGTAAGTGCTTAGTCATTAGCTTAAGAGGGTTTATCATCTCCAAGTATCCTAAGCCATAAGTGACCACATAGTCACTCCATCACATACTTCCCTTCGGTGGCCGTATATAAGGATGTGTTGGGTGGGAAAATTTGTCCATCTTCTATATACTCTTAAATTCAGCTTATATATTCTAAGTCCCGCGAGAGATAAGTGAAATTTTGTGAGAATTATTGAGTGTTGTTCGTGAGCAATCACCGAGAGTACCACGAGCACCGTAAACTATCACCCATCGCACACCGCACGGTTAAACGCACGCAAGCTTCCGCACGCATAGCCGTATACATCTGCACGGTGATCCGAGGACACGCACACGGCAATACACGCGGCAGGTCACGCCGAGCACGGGAATCCGGAGAGTCATATCGCCCGAGCTTTGTTGAAGGTAATTTCCGGCGGTAGTAAGGCTGAGATTATCGTGCTAGTTGAATTCAGTTTTTAGTTCTGGTCTTCATGCGTGTCTTTTGTCATTAAGGTCGTGCGAGAAGCCGTGCCGATCATGTCATGTTCTAAGTTAAATTCTCCGAACTATCCTCGCATATTTAGCCTTTTTATGCAAAATCATGTTTAGTTTAACTTAAGTGTTCG